CAAGCCCCACAACCACGTCAAGCTAGTGCCTTACTGGGGGATGATGATGATGATGATGATGATGATGATGATGATGATATAAAACATTAATATCTATAAGTAGTTTATATAATCTTATTATTATAAATACATTGTTGTTCAACTGGCTCATCCACATTCCCTGCTTGCTGGAGTATGAAGGTGCCCCATGAACTGTTTCTCCAGGGCATGTCTTCAAAATGTGGCCTCAATCTCATCGGCAGTCTGTTGCTGAGGCAGGTGAAGCCTGATTAAAGGGTTCCAGGTTGAAAGCCCTGTTGTTCTTTCTATGCTGGAAAAGAGCCCCCATGGGGACATTCCAGGTGTCTGGAAGAGGAGACTTCAGAGATTGGGGATTGGGTGAGCTCCATCTGCCCACTGCAGGACTGTCCCCTCCTGTCTGGTTGTGGGGATTTTCACCTCAGCAGCCATTTTCTCTGTAGCTGCAAGAGAGGCCAAACATCTCCCCTTAATGGTTTATTTTAATTGATATCTATAACATTGAGAGTGGAGATCTGACTGCAGGGCAATAGGGACCTGTGTCATAAATGATAGCAACTCGATGGCATGAGAGGGCTAAATGGATCGGAGCTGGTCATAAGCAGAGGCCACCAGGCTGGTGAAGGAGGAACTGGGTGCTGGCCAGGTGGGTTGCTGAAGGTGTGGGTATGAAAGCAGGGCAGGCCAAGATGGGCAACTCAGCATGAAAGGAAAACAAGAATGGTGAAGCCACCAGGCAGCTCAGTAAAATGCTTCAATGCATCAGTTATGACCCTGAGCTGTTCCTTCTCCCCACAAAACACCCCAAATGTAAAATAATGTAGCTGACTGAGGATGAAGAGACAGGGAACACCCACAGTCCCCAATTCTGCCCTGACATTCATTCAAGGGAATCACTGGTGGTTCATTTTCCCACCAGTAGATGATAGGTGGGAAGAAGAAAGATGGCAGGTTTCTGCTAATCACTGCCCTAAAACTATTTGGCATTACCAGGTGTTAGCCAGCAACAATTCTGATCCAAGAGGAGAAAAGGTAAAGAAGGGTTGTGAGGAGAGCACTTTTCAAACCAATGTGAGAGCACATTGTCGGGGTGAGAGAAAGAACCCTCAGATTAACATAAACATGCACAGCCTCGTGGACATGTATTCTTCAGGTTACTACTCTGCAACTCCAAGTGTTCATTCTCCCCGCTAATTCTACCTCTAGGTTCAATCATTCCCACATGATTTGGAGAAGCACAGAGAGATATTAGAAGCATCGGTGTCTTTCACTCAGTGGGGTTTAAGAGGCCAGTTCAGCTGAAACATCTCCTGATTCCCTTGTGGTAGAGGAGCCACAGTTCAGAAGAGATCCTAATGCTTTGACTCTGCTTCTTTCACTAACTAGCACCCTTGGGGATGTTTCACAGCATATATTAATAGAGCTACTTAAAAAAAACAAACGATGATACCTAATTTGAATTTTGAATTCACTGATTGTGCTTCTCTGATATTCAGCCTCAGACGACGGGGGATTATGACTTGAACAGACCTGCCATACTTTGCTTCTTGCATCTTCCAACACTCCAGTTCATAGAGAGAACAGCATTCCCCCAATGATCTCAGGTAAGTGTGAGAGTCTACAGGTTATTTCTCATTCACTAACATAACAGATACGATGTGGAATCTATTTAGGAAGCTCTTTCACTTATTTTAGAAATAAAGAATCACATCCAAACCAGGCTTAGGCATATGGAAGGCTGGGGTCTAATATCACTGAGTTCAAATGGAGGAATATTATATATACATCCAACAGGTTCAGAATCACCCATCACTGACCCATTTTATCATCAATGCTATTCCTCAAGGAGTGGTAATGATGGGTTGAAAGAATTACATCCAAACCAAGTTTAAGCATATATGTATAATCTATTCTGGAAGTTGTTTCACTTCTTATTTTAAAAATGAACAATCACATTCAAACCAAGTTTACATTCCAAACACAATGAAAATCTCTGATGGTTCAAGGTGTATGTATTTTAACAAGTACATCATGGAAGGACAAAGAGTAAATTTGACATAAACCAAATAAATAAATAAATACATAAGTAAGCAAGCCTTTTAATATCTCTAATACCTTTGCAGAGTTTTAAAACTTTTTACCTAAACGTTCCATTCCATGCAGAAACACTAAATACAGCTCCAAGTGACCAAAATATGCCCATTCCAATTTTATGTAAAATTGATGATTCTCAAGATTAGATTGGCTTCTTATATGGATTAGGATAATCTTGAGAAGGAATAGAGGGAAGGGTTTGCCTTTCTTTCTTTCTTTCTTTCTTTCTTTCTTTCTTTCTTTCTTTCTTTCTTTCTTTCTTTCTTTCTCTTTTTCTTTTGTTGATAGCTTGTGCTTCTTTGGCTATTTAATTCTATCAATTGTCTCCAATCATGTAACTGTTTCTATGGATGAAGTGTCCTCTGCTCACCAGCTTCTTTCATGATCCTGCTGCCCCTCAAGCTTAACATATTCAGATTTCCAATATCTTCACATCCTTGAACCTTGCCAGTGAATTTCATTGATCATTGTTAATCTCTCCTTCTATTCTTTCCCTCCTTCATTCCATTCCATTCCCTTTGGTTCCTTCAAACCATCTAAGCTTGCAGTGAGGTCTCCAGGAAAAGGAATGGTTACCACAACCAGTATGTCACACAGAGAGGAATGGCAAGGGAGGGGGGAAGAGTGTATTTCTCTTCATTTTCCACAATTCATTATATTTCTTAAGAAACAAAGTTCCTTACATGTACTAAGAGGGATTCTACAACATGGTTGCAAGAAATGCATAGAAATCTGATATTCTTGAGGGAGTGAGTATGTATGTGGGGTACATTATGATAAAATGATAGTCTTTTTTTCATCAGTTCCTCTGTTTCCAATAGTGAGGTGATAAGTGCTTCTGGTTATGTTGCCACATATTATTTTCTAAGGACACAGGAGGCAAGTATTAGCAGGTGTGGAAGAGCACCAGGAATTGCAGATTTTTTTTTAATCTTTAAAAGTACTCCAAAAAACTCTCAGAGCACATAGAGCATGCTTCGTAATCAAGAAATGTTGAATACAAAGAAAGAAAGGGATATTGACAAACTGAGTAGAGGGGAAATGTACTATTGTGAAGGGGAGCATAGTTGACCCTACAAGAAATCTCTGAAGAACTATCAAAAATCCCTTTTTTAATGTTGAAATTTAACCTCTTCTACCAAACCCAGTAAATTTTGATAAAATCAGTAGATGTTGTGGGACATCATAGTTGTGATATATTTATGATATGTAATTATATTATATCATAAACTATATTGGGATTTTTGACAAAAGAAAAGTGTCCAATTAATAAATAAAACTCTGGCTGGCTCAGATTAAAATATCAGAAAAAACACAAAAGCAAACAATGATAATACCTATATAGCACATCAAACCAAATATATCCAAAAGGATTTCTTAATCAATGAGACTTTAAAACAACCTTAACTACTGGTAAAAATCTTTCAGGTATTTTTCTAAATTCTAAGGTACTCAAGACAGAGCTATGCACCAAAATAAGTACTTGCCCAACTCCAGATAGTACTTGGAAGGGAGACAGCCTGGGAATTCCAAGGGTTTAGGTTTGACAGGCATGTTGAAAAACATAATAGCCAACCACTTTCAGAGCACTGCCAAGAAAACTAGTCAGATGCAATCAAGAGAACTGAAACTTGAGTTCAGGGTGTCTACTTACTCTTATGCCTTTTACTTAGCCTTTTGCCCTTGCCTTCTAACAAGATGGAGACAAATAACAGAACCGTCATGTCAGACTTCATCCTCCTTGGCATCTCAAGCCAACAAGAATGGAACATATTGCTCTTTGCCATTTTCTTGACCATGTACGTGATCACAGTGCTGGGAAATCTTATCATCATTTTGGCCATCCGACTGGACAGTCATCTTCATACTCCAATGTACTACTTCCTTAGCAATCTATCACTGGTAGACATATGTTTCACATCAACTACTGTGCCCAAGATGTTGGCTGGTGAATTCTCTGGAAAGAGGAAGATCTCATATGGTGGATGCTTGTCTCAAATGTATTTCTTTATTGCTTTTGGCGTCACCGACAGCTTTCTCTTGGCATCTATGGCATTGGATCGCTATGTGGCCATCTGTCAACCCCTGCGCTATGCCACCATGATGAGAAAACAAATCTGCCTGTCATTGGTGGTGACTTCCTGGTTGGCTTCTCACCTCCATTCCCTCCTGCATACGCTCCTGATGTCCCGCCTCTCTTTTTGTGCCTCCAGTCATGTTCCCCACTTTTTTTGTGATGTCTTCCCACTGCTCAAAATCTCTTGCTCCAACACAGCTCTGAACACTCTGGTAGTACACTCAGAAGGTGCATTCATTGTCAATGGCGCCCTGATGGTCATTGGCCTTTCTTATGCACACATCCTGATGGCTGTACTGAGAGTTCCTTCTGCCAAGGGAAAGAAGAAGGCTTTCTCTACCTGTGGGTCCCACCTGACAGTGGTTTCCTTATTCTATGGCACTGTCATCTGGGTGTACTTCCAGCCCTCATCCAATTTCTCAGCTAAGACAGACACTCTGGCTGCCATCATGTACACAATGGTCACTCCCATGCTCAACCCCTTCATCTACACACTGAGGAACGACAGGATGAAGGAGGCCCTGAGGAAGCTATTCAGAAGGAAAGTAAACACCCAAGATATGTAGCCCTAATATTTTCAGTTCCCAGTTTGCGGGATGATTGTTTCTGCTCTGCCATTTATGTGGTCCAAAGAATCATCTTGAGACATTCTGCACATTGTAGTTCAGTTATTTATTTATTTAAAACATTTATATGACTGCTCAACTCAACCAAAGTGACACTGGGTAGCCATATAAATGTTTTAGATAAATAAATAACTGAAAACAAGAAAATGGTGATCCAAACAACAATAACACCATCATTCAATCAGAGCTCCAGCACAGCATGACCCAAACGCCTGGGGAATGAGCCACGTGTTGATAGCCTTTCTAGAGGCAGCAGGGACTAAAGGAAGCCTTGGTTCCACAAGTCCCATAGAAAGAGAAGAAGGGAAAATATTTTCAGGACTGCACATCGGCCTCCTTCTTGTGTGATCTTTTGAATCTGCTGTGCTTGGAGAGGGTAATTTTTCAGCCTGCTTTATTATTCACCATCTGTCCTTCAGGGATCAGCAGATTGATAATAATGTGGAGCAGCCTGTCTTAACAAAATGCCCACCAGATGCAATGGGACAGACTTCCCTAACTCTTAGCAAGTGTGGACAGACAGACAGAAAGACACCCCAGTGCCTTCAAAATATTGGAGATTTCAGTTCCAGTCTACTTCAGTCAGTCTAGCTAATGGCAAGAGATCGTGGGAGCAGCAATTTACATCCTGAGCTGAAATTGTGGGAGTTGAAATCCTGAATGTCTTGGGAAGTCCTGGCCTAGATATCCAAGCTTATCAGGATCTCCTACCTGTGGTAGGAGGAAAAGCAGCAGAGGCACTGTTTTTTTTTTTTTTTGCAAAGAGTTGAAGGTAGAATCTAACCAGAGGGCATAGGCAGCCTATTACAGTGTTCTATAATCAAGCAACAGACTTGACTCTTACCAAAACCTTTCTAGGAAGCCTGCTCAGAAAGAGATTCCACTTTCCAGTGATCCAGCCCTGATTTGCCTCTTCAGACTTTATTTCTGATCACAGCTGTCACAAACTGTTATCTACATGAAAAGAAGTAAAAAAAATGAGGGGGGGGGGCTTCCTGTTCCCTTTTCTATTCCCAATTATAGCTGTATGAACAGAAGTTACTGTATTAATAAGGATAGTACAGTATTGTTGTGGAAACACATTGTGGACTTTCCCAACTTGGTATCTTCTGTATGCAATGGACTGCAATTCCTATAAATTATGCAACTCCATCATATCTGGAGGGGACCAGGTTAAACATTAAACACACATTATGTTTAAATTGACCTTAGATTGCACAGTTTTAGCAAAGATACCTAAATATTAAATAGTCAGATATACTAAATATAAAATTACTTGCAGCATAACTTCATGCATATTAAATCCAAACCAAATTCCTCAGGATTTTATTAGGAGTTCTTCCATATACATTCTCTATTATTTTCTATCAAAAACATTTTTTATTTTGTTTTTCCTTCTAGAAAATTAGCTATCCCACCC